CAGATCCGGACCAATGGCCGTCCCGACCGTGAACGACGGACAGCCCCGCCAGCGGAGTGTCGTTGGGACAGGGATGGGCTCAGGGTGGAGCCCAGGAGCGCCCCTCGTTGGCGAGACGAGCGAGGCCCTCCCTTACCGCAGGGTATCCCGTGCAGGGGAGATGGACCGGCAGCGGGAATCCGTTCCAGGAGGAATACAATACGTTGACTTTTGGGGTTTGGGAATTCTGTATAAAGGTGTTGTGTGCGTGTCGTTGTGTGGTTGTACAAAATGGCTATGTGTTGCGAATGCGTTCTGTATATATGTTGTCATCGTTCCGTCCGCTTCACTCCACTACTCCAATTCGAGTATATCGTAGCCGGGGAAGGCTAGGTTCTTTCATCACGGGGGGGGGGGGGGGGGGGTGGTGATGTAGTGGAGTAAACGATACGCATAGGTCAATTGGCCACATACAGTACATACAGACATACAAGCAGAGTGGGTCACATAAGGTCGAGGAGGTGGTCGAGTCACGGGTGGCGTAAACAAACCAAAGTAATTAATGGAGTCATGGCACGAGGGCTGTGATTGGTCGAGAGGCTGTTAGCGTTAAATGGCGGCGTAGCGAAGTCTGGCCGTTGGACAGGTGCGAGCTGGCGGGAAAATGCCAGCGAGCCACGTGGTAATTAATTAAGGCTAATTGAAAAGGGGATGAAACGCTAGGTGATTTGAATTGAGTTGTTGTTGGGCAGTTGTTGGCGAGAGGTGGAGAGATACGAAGAGGAGAGCTGGCAAATGTTAGGGAAGAATAGATTGAGAGCAGAACCCAAAGGACAGTAAATAGCGATAGGGAGAGTTAGCGGAGAGGTAGTTACGGGAGAGATAGGTACAGGGAGAATTACAGATAGAGTCACTGTGTGTGCGGATATAGATAGAGTCACTGTGTGTAAATAGACAGGCATGTCACTGTGTGTGCGGAGATAGATAGAGTCACTGTGTGTGAATAGACAGACAAGTCACTGGGTGTGCGGAGATAGATAAAGTCACTGCGTGTGAAGAGATAGCGGAGACACTGCGTGTGAGGAGATAGAGGGAGAATCACTGTGTGTGGAAGAGGATGAGCGGACGGTGCCGAGGTGAATCGGAGTGTCCGAGTTGGCGGAGCGCGAAGAGGAGAATTACTGTGTGTGTGTGCGAAACTATATAGTGTGTGTGTGTGGAACGATGGAATAAAAGTGACGGTGGAAGAAAGGCGGTTGTCGTCCGAGTGAATTCATGGCACTACACAATAGTCAATTCGAGAAGTGACAAAAGCGTGAAATTGATTGTTGGGAGCTGCCTCGGTGTCCAAGGATCCATGGACAAGACGCAGCTGACAAAGCTAGAAAAAGCAGGCTTTACCGATCATAGCAACATGGTGTGCGGGTTGGAGGTCAGTCCTACTATAACCCCAAGACTACGGACATACTGTAGGCAACTGGTGGTATGGTAGTAGCACCCACGTTGAGCGATGGACCGTGGCTGATCAGCTTATCAAGGCTATGGGTGGTGCCCAACTAGATCACGTTTGTTTTTTCGGCATTCATCTTCAATCTATTGTATGTCATCCAGCAACTAACAACGAGAACACATTGTTCAAGAACAATGGCTGATGCCGCTATGCCATTGGGCTCACAATAAATGTGTAGTGACATAGAATTGGTCACGTAGCAGCATAGCGCTGGCTGCTGGCAGGGAAGGGGATCTGCAGCTTGCAGCAGCCCTGTCCGACAGCAGGGCACGTGATAGACCAGAGAGGGATGTAGGGGAAAGGTTACGGAAGGGACACGTCGAGAGCCCGCTCGTAGATTTCAGAAGGGGGGTGTGGCCAGGGCAGAGCCAGGCCATGCTGACAGTATAAGAGGGGCCCCGGGAGGGAACCTCGGGGCTGTCGTTTGGAGTGGGATCCCCGTCGTTGCTGTTGAAGATCGTCGCCCTCGTCGCTGTTGTCTTGTCGCCTTCGTCGCTGTCGTCTTCATCTGATATTGCGCTGCTAGGCAGTAGTTGGCCGTCTCGGAGTGTACGGGCATACGGTGTGTATTGTGCAAAGGGTGCTCGGTTGAATAAAATAACTGCCTCCAAAAACTTACATCTGCAAGTCAGTCACTACAAATGTAACAGGTCCTTGCAGGGTGGGCTGGTAGGAACATTGGAATTTTTTTTACACCCAACAGCACGAGATTTCACTTCGTTAAAGTATTGAAAGGGGACGGACGGACGGACGCATGAATCTATTGCAGGCTGGTACACTCAGTTTACAACTTCGTTCCTACCAGTATAACTGAATGTCATCTACAAATGTGTATAGGTAAACCCCATGTTTGTCTACCAGTTCCGATAACTCAGCGGGATAGATAGATAAATAGTATAGGACCTAAAACAGACCCTTGTGGCACTGAACAAGTGACATTAACAGTTGTTAACAACTGGCGGTTGTGATTCACTCCATAAGTTTTGCCCGTTAAGTATTAATGAAACCGTGACAGTTCAGTTCCACAAATGCCGAATATTCACTCAAGACGCTGCAACAGTATAACATGGTTGACCATCAAATGCTACAATAATATCGTGGAGACTCAATGTGGAAAACTTGCCGTTGTCATTGGCCATCAAGAAGTCATTGTAGATTTTCAGGCAAGGCCGACTAAAACTTGGGCATTTAATCTGTGGAATCAAGATGTGCTGGTAGCTGCAGTTGCAATTTTTTTTCAAGCAGCTTTGAAATTAATGGAAGATTTGACACTGGGCGATAGTTCTCTTTTTAAGGAGTGACTGAACTTTAGATTTCTTAAATTGCTTCGGGAAGTAACCAGAGGATACAGACACATTAAAAAGAATAACAATACATGGTGACAGAGTGCCCCGAGACTGTATACTCAACCTGGTTGGTGCTAGATCAATCTGGCATGATGAATATATTCCGAAATATAAACCAAAATGACAACAATGACGCCATACATTTCGTAGTTCATTATATTTCATGCAACTTACTGCACGTGCGTCGCGCATGCACACAGGAGGTTATCGAGGTGGCCAGCGCAGAAGACGAACAAAAAATATACTCCCTGTGGAGCTCCCTCGAATGGAGGCCCTTCCACCAGAAATTGCAGGACTGCTCCTTTACCTCTAATTACCTCTAATTACCCTTAACGACTCGATCCAGGTGGCGTTATGCTTGGGGGCGGTCCATAGATGTGACGTCACATTTCTCAAACCCCCCCCCCCCCTTCGCCACACTTCGTCACAAATGGTTAACTCCCCCCCCCCCCCCTAGGTGCGTGACGTCATTTATGGACGGCCCCAAAGTCTGCCCGGCCATCGGTCTTCCAGACTTAAATATGACGTCACAAAGCTCTGCCCCCCCCCCAAAAAAAATGCTTCAAATCGCGTTTGTTCCTGGGTAGTAAAGTGTTATTTCGTAATTGCTTATGCCTTAAAAAGTATATAAAATGGCTATTATTAGCATGTTCTATACTCTTTGGTTCTTTCGGTAAAGTCACGTAGGTAGAAAAATAATAGATCACGACGTTTCAATCGCAACACAAGCAATCGTCATCAGGTGGGACAACCACAGCAAGAAAAAACTGCTGAAGTAGGCGTGTTCTGTTTACGAGGCAACCCTTACGAGTTGGCTGTGTCGGGTGGTGGCGGGTTTAACGACACATTTATATATTTACGCGATCGAAACCAACAAAACCTGTATTATGAACAATAACATTCTTGGTGTCTAAATTTTAGTTCCAAAAACTGATCTGCTTGGAGTTAAAACACCTAAATTGTTTATTAAAAGGCTGGGTAACCTCAAATTATAATTACCACAAAGTTAAAGGTGAAGGGCATCCAGTAGAGGGAGCTCTAGAGAGCCGCTTTAGAGGGAAATTCTGGCCTACTTGTCCACACTGTCCAGATGTCTTAGAAAATATGGGAGCACCCACACTTTACACCACCACATGCACCTGTGGTATACCTATGTAGTAGTCGTAGATGGAGACGGAGTCGTAGTAGTAAGCAAATACTTTTAGTTATACCTTATCACAACTCACTAGGTCCCTAACACGAAGGGGTAATGGCCCCTTCTACCCACAACCTGAGGAGGTACAGCCTCCGGGCTATCGTACCCTAGCCGTTGGCCCGACTACTCCTATAGCCCTCCGGCTAGCTGGACCTAGGGGAGGCTGACCCACCGCTGGCACCGGTGAGTCTTTGACCACTGGCCCGTCCGGACCCGGCCCTGAGAAGGACGTCGGGCTGAGGGAACCTCAGGGCCCTAGCCTACAGACCACTTGCACCGCACTGAGCCCCGGCCCTCAGAAGGACGTCGGGGCTTGGGGTCCAGGGTCTCTTCTTCTTCAGGCGGCTCCCCGGCTTCGGCTTGAGACCAACTCCCAACTGCTCTCAGGAGCCCGCCTTTTATACGATTCCCCCGCCGAGGGGCGTGGGTCCCGAGGGATCACAGATCCCTCGCAGCCCCCTCCCCTCAGGAGAGGTGCTTGCCACAGGAAGCCCAACAATCTGTTTCTTCAATCCCACTTTCTGTCAAGGACCAGGGTTTTGGGGGATCCCACACACACACTTCACAGCCTCCACCCCTCAGGCGGGGTCTTGATCAGGGATACCAATAACCCCGTTCTGGTAAGTACTGTGTAGTGTGTGCGTGTGTACAATGACCACCACACCTACATACTGCTGGGTGGACAGAGACTGGGGGATTCAAAGACATTTTCCAATCGATGTCAAATACACAAAGGTCAAACCTTACAGTTTATAGTCCAAAGGCTCCAAGACCAGTCGGTTGTCCTCAAACCCCATCAGATGCGGCTGTAGACTTCAGAGAGTAGTCTAATACCGTATCATCTAAACTTGTGACTTCATCAGACTGGTCTGTCAGTAAATTGTCAATAACACTCTAACATGTATGTCTATATACATTAAACCAATGAATAACATCTTGACACACACACAGCAAGGCAAGGGCTTCGAAATGTCAGCAAGGAAATGTTTTAATTGGAGAAAAATTGCAGGTCAAGGAAAACAATACATCACAGGGAGTGAGTTGTGTACAGGCAAAAGTAAAACAGTTTGTCATTATCACTCGCTTTGAATAAACATAGATTTGCCCAGCGGCTTCCATGCGCTTTTTCTGGTCTTGGAGAGTTATGAAAATCTTGGATCACACGAAGCAACAGCAGCGTTGTGCTGGTGATGAGATCGTTTGCCATAGAGGGCAGAGGTGGGGTGGGGGTGATTGCCACAAGTCATTCGGTTTGACACCAGCAACATCAACCCCAGGATGCGCATGCATGGTGTGCATGCATAATATATGTGCATTGCGCATGCACATGAATAACCCAACCTGTAACTGGTCCATTGTAATTTATATGAACACATTACCCCCCCCCTCCCCCGGCATCTGATTGGCTCGAGTGAAAACATCGCACCTATGTCTCTATTTAAGACCGAAACAGGATTTCCCCACAACTATGGCTGTCGCCTGATGATGCAAGTTGTAATTACTGGCGAAACGTCGTACTCGAATTGTAAATGTTGTGGGTTTACACTCGTAACGAATTTGCATGTGTTGTTTCCGTGAAAAAAACCTTACCAATTTCGCTGTTTCGGGACGGTGGCGGGTTTAACATTTACATCTACGCGATATAACCCAACGACCTCTTCTGCATATTGGTCGCGAAAGCCTACTACTACTGTGTTAAACATCAACCAATTTGGTTGTAGACTCAATTCGGTCATGTACTGTAAATATCTGCGTGTTTTTTTTTATTTGCAAAGCCCCAGGAGGGCACTTCCATCCCCAAACGAGGCGGCGCAACTCAATACATTGTTAAGGGATAAGAGGGCGCTGTGCAGAGGGGATGCCCCGGTTTACGTGTCACCTCGTGCATGCTTTTTGAAATGTGGAGAGAAAATAATTTGCGCCAACGTGCACATGCAAACGTGATAAAGGAACACGAATAATGCGAGCGAGTTGCAATGTTTGAACGAAGTCAGACTCAGCGAATGAAACAAGTGACAGCATAAATCGTATTACATTTGTTAGTTAAATGTATTTATATTATGCTGTCTGCTTCTGCTGTGTCCTGTGTACAGCACTTTTGAGATCCTTGATGAAACGCGCTATATGAATGTAATGATTATAATCACGGCAAACTGCATCGACTTGCATCCACATGCTTTAACAGCGCCATCTATTAAACTACAAATAGGGCCAACTCACGCAGCTGAACGAAGACTAGCATGTCTCTACCACGTCTCTTAAGTGCTTAAAAACAACCCCGTCGTAACCTTCAAAAGTGCTCTCTCTCTCCGCATCATTCATCGTCCAGCATAACTACATTTTTTTACAATCACAATCGTTGGAAAACTGAAACGCTTCTCATTAATTTCACTGAAAGTTGTATATTTTGGTTTTTTTTGCCAATAAATTGCTTAGTTAACGCCTCCCCATGACTTGTTGACAATGGGATTTTGTTTTGTTTATCATACGTCACCATGTTGGTACGTGTGGGGTGGTAAAGGTGGGGTGGCAGATTGAGTTTAAATGTCATTCAGTTTAAATGTCATACTCATGGTGTCTGTAAATCGATCAAAATTGCAGGGGCTCATAGCGTAGCACCTCAACATCTGCGCCAGACACTAACCCCAGAACTAATTTACACATTTTAGTCACAAATATCTTTAAGGACAATTCCCCCCTTTCGATATTGTTCCATTGGCTGTTTTGTAATGGTTAAATTAGTTGTAGAATATGATGTATTCAATTTAACAAGTTACAGAATTACAAATGTTTAAACTTATTCTTTGGGCCGTCATCAGGCACTTGATGACGACCGCTTGTGTTGCGATCGAAACGTCGTAGTTTTTTGTTTATATTATTTTTATTAATTGGAACCTATCTACGTGACTTTACCTAAAGATCCAAAAAATACGAATTTCTGCGGTCACGAAAGCTTTAAGTCAAGATGTTTAAACTTATTTTTAGTCGATGAACATAGCACCACTGTCAGCTACATTATCAGACGTATTCAAGAATTTAAACTGCAGCAAATGTATAAACAAGCCCAGCCCATGGGAAATCATTGCCAAGACATGTAACATTTGTACGCATACAATCAAAGCCTGTAGCAACATGGGGCTGGCACTCGTGGGTGTGCTGCACCACCAAATATACCTTCCACTCATCCAAGTTCACCCTTCTTAGCGGAAAGTCATTGTTATAAATATGAGGCGCTGGAACCAGGCCTATATGATGTAGTAATTAGTGAACAAAATGAATATGAACTCCCTCTAGTTCCAACTCGTTACAGTATTTAGTGCTGCGATTTGAACACGGAGCTAGAGAAAGGTCCAGTTTATGTTTGGATGCGACTGCAGAATTGGCACATAGCAATGACCATTTCCATAAGCCCTGTGGCCTATTACACTGACGTGCTCCAGTCACTGACGATATCAAGCACGTCCGAAGTGAGTGTGCCGAAACCTTTGCACACAATACGCATACAGAAAACACCAAAAGAGCCTTCACTCAGCGTCAAACATTCAGGACAAGCGAAGGCAAAAAAAACAATAACGCCCAGTGGCACCCTCAAATAGGAGGTGGAGCTCATACTGCGGCATGCCGAGCAACCCGATTCTTCTCTGTGTTGAGAACGAAGCCACAGCAATGCGCACCAGGTACTCGTTTAACAGTCAAACTGTGGAAGGTGTAGGCGAGGTAACATATTGACGAGATTACCGGAGGGAATTTAACCTGATTCCCCGAGACTGCAAAACGGCACATGAATCACTGAGCTACCACTCCTCCACATGAATGGCGATGCGCAAAAGATATATATTTTTTATTAGCGTTTGTGTACACTCCATCGACCCATAACTCCAGCAGTGCAACTCGCAGTCTCGGTACTTCGACCGTGAGACAGGAAAGTGCAAGTGGTGAGTAAAAAGTTGAGCAAATAATTTGTCAATTTCCACTCGGACATCGCATGCAGTGCACGTGCGCATGCATGGTTTTCGGGGCAACAGGTGAGCAGAAACACAAATCACACATCACCCCAGAGAACCTTGCTTTTTTACACAACAGGAGGGGCACATAGTCACCAACAAATAATCGTTATGTTACACATAAGATAGAAATGATATATATATGCAACAAAGGAAAGCTACAATAACACAGGAAACACATGTACCTTTTCCAGGCCCTTTTGACATCAAAACCTGCACACGTCTATTTAGCTTACAAATCAAACACTCCTGAAACGATGACCCCTTGCTGCCTGCACTCATGAGAGTCGAGCAATGCCTCCCACGCATCCTTGTCCAGGATTGTGAATATTCACTCCCCATGTGGTTCAATGAAATTCCCACTGACTCGAAAGTCAACTCTTTTGTCATACAAAAGAGGGGACTTTGTACGACGTTCACATTTTGTTTTGTCTTGTCCGTTCCATTCGTCTTAATGGTACGATTGCACGGAGTTTGCATATTACTTTAATAATTAATTCTTACACACACACAATCTTATCAATGTATCATTACACTTGCCTAGGGTTAGGTTGCTCAATGTTACTGGGATTTGCTATACCTGTAGATATAACATTCACAAATGCAATAGTCTCAATGGACATTGCAGCATGTATCATGAGGTGGCATTGCTCTGCCCTTGCACCGTAGGTTGAAATCCAACACTGTAAATTATGAGAAAACCCATCAGTACATGTAGGCTGGAGAACGAACATAAAAAGCAACTCGCAAAGGTTCCGGTGATGCTCACAAATGGCAGGAAGGCGGCACACGACTCTCATCCACACACAGCTCGTGCATGCGGCTCGCGCCGAAGAAGCTAAGACAAGGCCGTCAGAATTGCGCGTACAATGTGGCGGTCGTATGACAAGTGTGCAAGGCGTGATGGTTTGTCGTGCCTTCCTGCTGTTTGTGGTCAGCGCACCCATGCGTAATGTTAATTCGACCGTGCGTGGTGTGACAAACGTACCGTTTCGGATGTCACCGTCAATAAAAAAAAACGAAAGTAACAATAAATTATGAAATCTGCAAATGAAATGCTTAAACAGCAAGCAACGCATTTTTTCACTCGACGAAAAACAAACCTAAGGAGCTCAACGTTACGACTGCGGCCGAGGTGTCGGGGGGAGGGGGGCGTGGCGGCACTTGTCACTGCACGAAGCAGCCAGCGCTGGGCAGGAAGTCCTGCACGTATGTCGCCACCGCCTTGGACAAGTACGTCATGCTGCCATAGCGCCCGCTCGGAGCGCTGTCGTACAGCAGGTGGCAGATCTTCGTGTTCGGGTCCATGGCCAGCATGTTGTCGTCGGCACCCAGCGACCTCTGTCAGAGTTGAACAGCGAGGCACGGGAGTCATGCGTGGCTTTTTGGAACGCTTTCCGTAACGCTGTCCAACTCGCGCTGTCAAGGTGCTGTATCCCGAGTACAGACGCCGGCGGCTAGCTGTTTTTAAATAGTTATTTTTGCTCTGCTTTGTGTTTGTTTTGGGCAACATTTTGACTAAACTGGGCGGTTTTCAGTAGGTTGAGTCCCTGACAGAAACACGACTTTACACTAAATGTCAATTACGTAAGATTATCTTTACGAGGGTTGTTGCTACCACACATTAGAGACGAAATAGACGGAAAAGCTAATGCATAAATGCTTCAAGCTTAGTTGGAAACTGTAAAAGAGTATTCGCAATTCAGTGTAATCTGTTAGGTAATGGTTAAAAGTGAAGCCCTAAAATAACGTCACTGATGGCTGAAGGTAGGACCCACACATTTCCCCAATGTGTTGATTACTCGGTCAACAAACCATAGGTGTACAGTAGAACCCCTTTTAACGGCCACCCCTGTTAACGACTAATCGCTTAACGACGAGCCTCCATAGAGCCCAATGTGTAGTGTAGTGTATAGTAATGTAGTGTATAGTAGTGTCGTGTATAGTAGTGCCATGCATAGTAGTGTAGTACCTCCAAAGAGCTCAATGTGTTCGCTTACCAACTATTCCCCTGTTAACGACAGGCTGTTGTAGGTACAGTAAATACTAATTAATGCTTTTTTTCGATTTAAAGCTTTCGTGACTGCAGGGATTCATCTTCTTGGTTCTTTCGGTAAAGTCACGTAGATTACGTGACTTTACCGAAAGAACCAAGAAGATTAATTAATGCATTTATTAACCATGTTTCTTTTCATATTATGTGTTTATAATGTCGTTAGTATCTTAATGTATTACTATCCATCGTTTAAATAGTATAAAGTACTTTTTGGATGAAAAAGGGTAACTTTCGATGCTATTGGAACAAATTAAGCCTTTAACATGTATTTCCTATTCTCGCTCAACGACTAAATCACTGAACGACCGGTTTCGTGGAACCAATTACCGCTGTTAAAAGGGGGTTCTACTGCATCGTCTTCAACACATTCGTACATTAATGTCCTGTACAAATTAGCCGATGCCCATGATGTCGCCAAGTCCCACCCATCACCGCCCGTCCATCAGCAACTCGCGACCTTGCTCGCCCGCACAGCGGAAGGCTCGGGTGGCAATGCGACCCAACGGTGGCGCATTCGTCGCCGCATGCCACGGAGGTTCATGGGGTTCAACTCCGACAAGCTGAACCGGTGATTAACGCGGTGCGCGTTGACCATGAAATACCCGCCCGCCTGCTTTACAGTGGGCATTGATTCCCCCTGACGTCATTCACAACAGAGCGGTGTGCCCGTTTCATGGTCCAAATGTTACCAAACTTAAGAATCACTTGCAAACGACCCTTAAACTATTAAACCATCTGTATTATACCATGCAAGGCCCACTGAGCTATATAGCTCTTTTTCAGAAGCGACCTGGCTATCACAAATGATAGCCCAACGAAGTGGCTTATCACATGGAAATTTATAGCAGCCAAAAACTCTAAACGCATGTCGATTCTAAATGCGGAGGTGGAAAAACCAGAGGACCCAGAGAAAAATCCACGTGACCACGAGGAGAGAGACATGCAAACTCCAAATTTACAAGCGTCAGGGTCAGGCTCAAACCCACGACCTCATGTATAAGAAGTGAGGTAGTGAACACATCGCCAACATGACACCCAATTGGGGTTATCGCCCCTTTCTATAACAACTACAGCAGACTGTTTATTTGCAACATAGCACCTTTGTGATAGCCTTGAGCTATAAGAATGGCACAAATAACAAACATACGAGATTTTTAAGGGTCCTAGCCGAGCCGAGCCGAGCCGAGCTGAGCAGAGCCAGTCTCCCACCTGGTCACTGATGAAGAACTCGTTGGCGATGTGCACGATGCGGTCGATGTGGATAATCCCACCCAGCGTGTGGATATCCATGTCGCTGAGCAGTGTGAGCACCATGATGGCCTCCACCAGCAGCTGCCGGTACTCGGGCTGCGGCACGCGGTTCAGCACCGACTCCACGTGCACCGCAAACTTCAGCTCTCCCGGCGTCATCTGGGCAAGCCGGGCCATCCATCCATTCATCCATTCACCCATCCATCCATTGATCAATTTCATTCATCCATACATGCATTATCTGCGCTAATTACGGAGAGAATAATCTAAACATATTACCATTTTCCACGGATCTCTATGCCAAAAGCCACTAATATAGGTATAAATTTCAACTCACTAAATAAATGATCGAATAAATCACTTAAAATGAAGCACAACTGAAGATTTCTATTGTTACTCTTTCAATTTAGAACGAATACTAACGATCGACCGATCGATGCGCGTGCTCAGTGATATACCACTTTCCTGCTCCTGTGCAGAAGACTCAGCCCACTGAGTGGACAGCAGTCACGCCAATCAACATCAATCAAACTCCACGCCAACGTTGTAAAGATATTGCAACTACTGTACTGTGGAGGCGATCACGTGGATTTCGGATTAACCGGAGCACACATTTAATCGGTTTAACCATGTGACTTAGAATAAACATTTCCAAGAATAACAATATAGAACTTTTTAAATTATTAATTTGAGGTTTAAGGGAAAATCCATGAGTCATTAATTTATGTCAAAATCTCAGTTGCACGGTGAATCCGCAAATCGGATAAATCGCACACGGATAATCGAGTCTCCTGTATTTGCTCTATTCTTCCACGTTGACAAGACATCTTGGAAGAGGTGGTCGGATACCACACTTTAGCCCACCACATGAGATCTGCCTGTTGACTGACTTCAATGTTCCCATTGGCACAGAGGTGCAGAGGATTTATAACATGCAGTCCTCGACTTACGAACGGCCGTACTTACAAACCAGCTTCCATGAAAGAAAATAAAAAAATAACGTTGACTCAAAACGCGAACTCGCAATTGCAAACTGAACCATGGAACTATTCTGTTCAGAGGAGTGATCTTCCATGAGATATAATGAGTCAGCCTCGCGCTGGGAGTGTTTGTGCGCATGCGCGGACATGTATACGTACGTGAGAGTGCGAGTGTGGGGAGTGGTAGTGTAGCAGTTAGTGCGCTGCACTACGAAAGCTATTCTTGCTCACGGCCAACACCAGTGATGATTATCTGAACCGGTCTTGGGCCTCCTCTAGGTCGACTCAAGACTCAAATGAGTACCTGGTGCAGTGTGTAAAACATCGCCATTCGGGAGACAAAGGCGGCCGGGCGTGGTGTTGGCCAACCACCCCCTCATGTGCCGTACTGGCCTTCATAGGAGCTCACTAACAGAACTTGCCCCAACAGTATAGGGGGATCTTTGTCTTCTGTGTGTCTATCTGTGTGTGCGGCACGTGTCCCGTGTGTGTGTGTGCAATTGTGGTGACTCATTGCCCCACTTCTGACTACAAGTTAGCATCAGAACTCAAGGCAAGTGAAAATAGTTTTTTTTAATGTTACTTTATAAAGTATTTACTATACATTATTTTTATAGTGTTACATGAAAATGTACAATATTTTCTTCTTTAAGTATGAGTGTAACAATATTTCTCTTTTTGCTGAACCGTAACACATTTCATAACACTGACCGTATGGGCATTTAAATATACAGTAGATTACCGTGTTCCGACAAACGAACCGCTCGATTTACAAACGGGTCTCAGGAACGAATTGTGTTCGTAACCCAAGGCCTGCCCGTACATAAAAACAATCTGCACCATTGGGAGATCGGCTCTGGGTTGCAAGTCTACTGTGCTACCAATTACACCATGGCAGCATCCCCATTTATCAACAAGCCTATTCTCAAAAAGTTCCCTACTGGCAGACTATATTCTTCTGTAAAAGATAGCGCCTTCTTTCACGATTGTCCTGCACTGCAAATATTTGCGTGCATGCACAAGCGTGTCTGCCTTACCTCTCTTGTAGCAGAGGAAGGCAGCACAAATCCATCAATGGACAGACCGTGACACTGCAAGCAGACGCACCAGAACAATTGTCAATCTTAGTTTCTTGGCTCCTTAACATTATTTGTTTGCATTGACAGCAAATAACTGTAAATTGTGTGGAAGTTGAACTTCTTTCGTGTCATACGTAGCCAACCGTGCTAATCGGAGGTGCATGTACAGCGCTTTGTTAATTCACTGCTAGATGAGGGCCCCTTTCCATATTTGGTCATAGTAGAGTTAAGGTGGAGAGAGCAAAGATGTAGCAGCTTTAAAGCAAAGCACAACAATGGACTTAGCTGTACTGCCCTCTGCTGCCCACCGCACAGTTCTGTAGCCCTTTGACAACCTGGTGATGCATGGTGGTCACCCTTACAATATCCTGGCTCAATCCAACTTAGCTTCAGAGATGGAGTGTATTCCAGGTATGTAGCCCTTTGACAACCTGGTGATGCATGATGGTCACCCTTACAATATCCTGGCTCAATCCAACTTAGCTTCAGAGATGGAGTGTATTCCAGGTATGCATGACTGTTCAACTTCTTTCGCACCGTATGTAGCCAAACATGCTGATCAGAGGTGCGAGTGAATCGGTTATAGCCCTTTGGTTAATTGCTGAAGATAAATGATGCGGTCAAGATTTCTGCCACAACTCAATCATTGGCTCGGATGGTGTTGGTGGCTACTGCCATAAAACACATTGAGGCACCGTATGATTCGCAACGGTATCGCCTGTGGGGTCAAATCACAAGTTCAATAAAAAAATTAGTTATCGTTTTGCTAAAAACGGGCCATTGTCCAAAACGTCGACAATTACTATATATTCCAGAATAGAAAAACTAGCTATCTTTTACTGTATTTGAAATCAAAACTTGGTAGTGCATCATACAATCTGGTGTGTGAGCAAATTTGTAGAACTTCAGTGACACCGGCCACAAGTTTGTGGTGCGTCTTTACTTTCCAAATCATCATAATATGCAGAGAACACAGTAAATATGAATATTCCCTCGAGGGCAGCATTATTGGCAAACGTGTCAAGTTGTCGTAATGCGTGCGAGTAGCGCGCCGCTGCCAAAGCAGCAGCATCGCCATTGTGGCGTTCAGCAATGGGGGGGGGGGGGGGGGGGGGGGCACAACGTACCTTCTCCAGGACCATCCAGACCTTCTGGTAGAAGCCGATGGGCACGCGGTTGAGCGCGCCGTCGAGACGCCGGCGCCGCAGCCACTGGCCCTGGCGGTCATACCAAGCCGGCTGCTCCAGCACGGCGCCCAGCGGCGACGTCTCTCCCGTCGCCGTGGGGCTCGACGGCGTGCTCGCGTGCTACCCGGGGTGGGCACAAACGCGAGGATGGCGCCGCCCATTGGCGGATGACAGATGCGAGGAACGTGGAGGGGGGGTGGGGTGGCAGAGAATTCAGCAGAAGCGGTGAAGGCCGCAGGCAGGATGGGGCCGTCAGGCCACGGTGACCAACGGGGGAAGGAAATTAGACAAAGGCGATGATAGTGGGAGGGAAGACGGAATTATGTTTTGCGATCGATCAGAGAAAGTTGGAGTTTGCAGAGAAGACATGTATGGTGGAGCTCGGTGTGTACGTAGGAGAGTTAATTGAACGATTTGGGGAAGCAGTAGATTTTGAAAGGAGGTAGTCAGGTGTAGCAAGAGATATGAAAGAGTGGCAAGAGGAATATTTAGACCAGACACAGCAAACACACACCACGCAGTCAAGTTAAAACACTGTATCACACGCGCAAAACATTAACTGTCTACACTCACTAACCTTGATTTCTTAACATTCAATTACATGACAAGAAAGCTACTGACAAATTACTGTTGCCAACCAACCTAATTGTTACAATAGTTCAAACATGTTTGATAGTTTACAAATGTATCGTTTCATATGCAACAACAAAGAAAAATACTGCAACATTAAAAAAAATTTAAGCTTAAAAAAACAAGTGAAAAAATTCTCAACCTTTCTTCAAGCGTGTTGACCAAAAAGTTAAGGGAGGAAAAAAAAGCAAGATATTTTTGCAGCCTTAAAAGATCAGCTTAGGGTGGTTTGTGTAGCACACTTTATTGCACGCAGTACACCAAAAGCCGCAAAGATGCTGCCATGCATTGCTCAAGACAAGATCATCACTGCATCATTGCCACGTTCCCAAGCGCTAGGATCACCAAAAGTCCCATCACCGACCGAGATATATAGGCCCTTCTCTTTGGAGGTCTCTTGAAACTACCACCTGCTCGTTGTCACAGCGAGTTTTCTAAATAGGCCGGTGCCAGACCTGGCGTTGCGCACTCGCACGACTTTATAAGTGGGCCCAGCTATTATTCGCAATCTCTGGTGCTGCCACGGATATATACGAGGCAGCCACGGACACCGACAGGACGTTCCACGTCGCTGTGACGCAGTCTTGAGGTGCCCAACCCGAACTGCTAAACCGCGTTCTTTACAGATACGGGGCAAATTTACAGCAACAACAAATTAGTTTCCAATAGTTCCACACTTACTGGCAGTTAATGAAAGTTGTTTAAATAACAAAAAAAATGTGTGCACAACCTCCACAACAAACTCCGCCCAAATTATTTTTTGGCTGTGGCCTGGCATCGTCCCTAGCACAAAACTAGGTCGGTTAAACCTAGTATGCAGCCTTGAAATACTCTACACTGCTCCAGTGCTTGGGTCTTGAAGATTCGAACAAGAAATGATATACGTGCTGAAAATGACTCACTGTCATTATTACTGCTATGCTTGTTTACCCAGGAAAGTCTCACTGAGTCTCAAGACCCTCGTTCAGCCAAGTTTTTGCAGATGTGGGCGATGTTGCTACGTGTCGTCCCAATCAAGTAATTTGCAGGTCACTTCTCAGCACTGGTAAGTTTTGCCAATAGCAGTCACATACGTAACCGGACAACTCAAAATAAATATCTGCATAACAAGGGGAGAATATACAAACGCCACGCAGAAAGGTGCCCGAGTCTAGAATCGAACCCAAGCTCTTCTCGTTAACACAGCACCACCCTGCCGCCTACTGATCCCTTTATATAATATAAGGGAGGGCAGCATCCTAGTGCTAAGACTGGTACTCGTACAGTTTTGTGTCCGGAAATCTTGTAGCTGTAGACTCGACTGTAGTTAAGAGATGAACCATTGGTCAACGCAAAACTATATTTGGACTGGGCAAAGCATTCAAGTGTCTTAGGAAAGGTATCACTTGCACCCTATTGCACAGCATTGGTCCGTTTATTTTCTTATAATTAGGAATGATCATTTAAAATACCTCGTAGTTTCTCGAGTCTCGCCGTATTATCCATGGCTGTTTGTCATCACGAGGGTCTAAATTTAATTGGAAATTTATATTTTAGGATTTTTATTTATTTTTTTGCCCAGGAAAACTCAGATTCTGTACAGCAGAGCTGAGGCACCCCCACCCCGTTGCACCACCCCCCCCCCCCCCCCCTTGCAGATATCACAATGCTGCCCAGCAAGGACGATGATGGCTCTTGCTAGCAACGGCAATTCACAACTCTTCTCCAGGAGTGAACTATCAATGGAAACCTCCAAAACAATGGACCAGGGATGAGCAACGCCACCAAATACAAGTATTTGTGAATCGCCGAGATGCATCCTTTTACCCGAAAAGGGTGTCCATAATATAGGTAGGGAAAAGTGCAGACCTGAAACTGCTTGCTCGTGTCACTGCTGGCGGGACGGCGTCTAGAACCCTTTTAGAGTATACTTGGCCTACTAAACTACGCTATGTATTTAAATTACACAAATTCAAGACCGTTCGTGCTCTCTGTTCCTGGCCACTTTGTGTTATTGGTCTTTGGGCCCTGTGCTCGGCAACTCGGATCAAAGCAAATATTTTTTCCGCAACTTTAACATGAAAGGTGAGGCTAAACCATTTGCTGTGAAATCAGAAATTATCTTCAATTGAGAAAACAACACCTCTGATCAAGTATCAACCCAACAACCTCACAGAATGACAACTCTCAAAATCCTCAAGAGGTGTGTACACACCAGTACACGTAAAAGTTCATCAGGCGCCTGCGTAACAAAGACACGCCCTTTCTGGGTTTCTCTTAAAGCTGCGCCAGCAGTCACTTGGTTCCTTCACCCCACTGGCAATCACAAAACTAATTTACCCACAGCTTCACCCGGGTACGCGGGCGGTGCTTTTCCGCACGTCGACGCCTACTCCGCACAAAACACACAGGTCCACAAGCTTCAGCGACACGCACCGGATTTCTGGTCTGCAGAAAATGTGCAAACGCATTAGTCATTGGGCGTTGATTCGGCGGGGAAGTGGGGGGGGGGTTGGAGGGCGTTTCGAGACCCACGGGGTTGCAGAAGCGACCGACGCGGCTTCTGTTAATCCCAAAGCTCCTCATCGGTCCCCGCGGCGGTGAGTGGCAAAGTCTCTGCAAAGCAAAGCTGTTAGTTCCAGCTGGCGCATGGCGGCGGCTGCTTCGATCACCAGAAGCAATGAAGTCAATGGCCAGAGACAGGTATATACGTTTATATGTGCACAAGGTAATGTGTGGAGGGGTGGTCAAAAAGGGCAACGGGTTTCACTTTTGCACGTTACCGCCGAATGCGCCCGATCCCATCGGACGTCAGAAGCTGAGCATGGATGAGCTTGGATAGTGGTTGGATGGGTGACCACCACCGTGTATAAAGCAGGTGAAATAGTAGTAGGTGTTGTCGGCAGTGGAAGTCAGTGCAAAATCCATTGTTGTTCTGTAGACACACCCAAGCCTCTACCAATCCTGCACTAACCAGCGTGAAGTATGATGGACAGATAACCCTCACGGCCCTCATCCTGCAGTGGAATCACAAAAAACAGGATGTACATGCATCCTTAGAATACTAATAAGTGCCAATTATTTACCTAAATAAAGCCTCACTGCACAGAAAAGTTAAGTCAATTCCATTCACGAGTGTTTCGCCCGTGGCAGGAAACTGAAGTACCAAAACAAAACCCACTTTAAAATAAGGGGATGACACCTGGCTACGTCGCAGCCCCACGACCACAACACCTGACAAACCTTGGTATTGGGCACCCACCTAAGTTCTCACCCAGGTACAAATCTGCTTAGCTTGTGAGATCTGACGAGATCAGGCGCACGCGCGGTTAATCGGCCATAGGCCTCTCCTTGATATTAATCACCGCTTGTGTTTCGGGAAGTGGACAAATTTAGACCCTATATATAGCCACTTTGTATTGTAATGTATTAATGTGGTAATGTTACTGCTGTACTGTACTTCAAGTAGCACAGCGAGGGGGCACTTAAAATATCTTAGAATAGCTTTAACATAATAAAAAAAAGTTTTCTATGTTATGTTCTATTAAGAAGCGCCATTGTTCTAAACGCACCTTTTATAAATTGTCTTTAAGGCCAGTGTTATTAAACAAATGCGTGGCGTTTTCTACATATTAGGTTGGTGAGAGTTTTACAAGGATACACTTTTTGACCACCTCATTCGCACAGTATACATACACAATGTGGATATGTAAATGCACCTCGGATTATAACATGACCAGCTGCGCAATGTGCCGAAGAACACGTAGGTAAATATCATGAATCCAACTGAAATCCAACCACATGAAATTTACTTCTGTGAACCTTGGTGAGAGCCCAAAGAGTTGCATTCAATCTCACCCGCAACAAGAGACCCCCGACTGATGCGAGTGATCCTTTTTTTTTCACTGCCGTGCCGGGGGCGTGCCAAGCCAGCCCAGCGTGGCTCAGGAAGCCCCGCGTTGTTTCTTTCCACTACAGGAGGCGTTGCTGCTGACTTCGCACGCAGTGACCAAGTCGAGGCGCATATAGTTGACGCCGTGTTCGAGTTGTTACTGGCTGATGTCACATACAATGCATGCGTCATTAGCACAGTGCCTTGCTCTACTTGGCCCCAGGCCAGAATCAGAAATCTTATGAAAAGGGAGCAGCATGGTTTGATTGTGTCTCGGCACGGTAAAGAGCCAATTGAGAACCACCCGCACCCGGAGAGCCCTGTGCTGGCTCGGCTCGGATTTGGTAGTGGAAAAGGGTCACTTGATTACACAGTGAGATGAATGAGGTTAAATATTTTGAATCGGAGCTCTGTTTCTACTGGATATAGTTCTACTCGGCAAATGTGAGGCTACTAATAAAGCCCACAACAATATTGCGCAGCAGTTATATTTTTATTAAATGCATTTACATATATTACCTACAATTATCCAACATCATATATTACCTAGAGAGCCATTAAAGGCTCCTCCACCTTCTTTTAGAGGCTCCAGGTACAGTAGTTACAAACGATCCAACCCACGTTTTTTTTAAAGTGGGACAAAGAAGAGTCCATTCCACACCTTTTAATTGTGGCAAATTTGCAAATCCGGACCTGAAGTGAACCTCAACAACAACCTTTACCAACCAACCAACTCGTGTCAAGCGTTACGCTGAACAGTTCACCTCCATCCCCACGCACGTGATGCCACCTTTAAAAACACGGCGGTGAAAGTCAGCAACAAGCGCTGTAATTGCAGCAATCGCACAGTTTGCTGCATTGGCATGAGTAACTTTACAATCATACGGAGCACAATTACATCATCTCGTTTTAAAAATTACTACGCACTTTGCATACAAAAGAATTTGGTAATTCATACAAACTCACTGCTTTGCGTAGTATGTTCTTTATTATTTTAGCAAATCCGGAGATCAGTAAATATATATAATTATGGATTGATGTCCTTTAATTTAGTCAGAACCCATTATGACTCATTATATCTAGGCTGTCTAGATGACAACAGGTTGACCTTACAGTCACCCTGCTCTAACTTGCGTAGTCCACAGCACTTGTCTCTATCGGTCATCCTGAGCCAGCAATGGATATTCCACATTTCCATGGCAGGGCCTCGGTATTTCCATAACACCCCCAAAACCATTCAATATACACTTTCGTGTGCATTGATTTCCAACGGAACATACGATAAAATGTTGCCGGTTTCTAATTAGTGACCTCCAAAACTATCTTACTTTAACCGCTGCCAATGAGGCACGGCGTTGTTTGAACATTTCATTGTAAAAGTAGTCATGGAAATGCAGCACAGGCGAGCGTTAAACCCAGTGAGGAAGGAGACGGGGTCACGTGAGGTGTGGAGGGTGGGCGGTTGGGAGAAAGGGGGCGGCAGTGCCTGTGAGATGCCACGCGACCTCTGCCCTGCTAAAGGTCAGCAGGCCATTACCGTCGATTGGGGGGAGTAGGCATCACCACCGGCAAACGACTGACCAAACCAAGCGGACTGGTTTCATGTCGATTTGGGAGGGAGGGAAACAGAGAGGAAAATTACAACACGTCAACACGGTTCAATGCCAAATTAAACACGAGGGAAATGAAATGAGTCGCACAACATTCAAAACTACACACGGAAAAATGTACACACAGATGCGTTGACGTGTACCTGGTCCACAGGCAAATGCATCTCTGCACACAAAAAGCGGTACACTATGCATATTGGCAGTTTTTTTTTGCATTCCCCATTATTTGTGTGTTCATAAGCCGATGCCCGGAATCAGCAACCACTGCTGTGGCTGGACCAGCATCAAACCTCATGGGTCTCCTTAGACCTATGAGTCACCATTCAACATTTGCAGATCTCATATCACAATCACGCTTGTTCAGCATCGGTAATATAACACAAGGCATGTGACAGACATACTGACGGGCATATCACAGAAGAGCTTCCGCAACTTCTTTGCATTGCCTCTTATTCCCACCCGGCCTGCTACTGAGCACTGTTCATTGAAGTACAGTTCATTGCATCTCATCAATAGTTTTTAAATCTCACAGTTGAAATGTAGCCACCTTACGTGTGGAATAACAAACCTGACATCATGGGCAGGGGAACTTCATCAATGCATGATGTTATACAACAGAAACCCTGTTAACGACTAAAGGCTTAACGACGGGCCTCCATAGAGCCCAGTGTGTAGTGTATAGTAGTGTAGTGTATAGAAGTGTAGTGAAAAAAAGTGTAGTGGAGTGTATAGTAGTGTATAGTAAAACCCTCTTAACAACCACCCCTGTTAACGACTAATCGCTTAACGACGGGCCTCCATATAGCCCAATGTGTAGTCTAAAGTGTAGTGTATAGTACTGTAGTGTATAGTGTAGTGTATAGTAGTGTAATGTAGTGTGTAATAGTGTAGTATATAGTAGTGTAGTAGTGTGGTGTATAGTAGTGTGGTGTATAGTAGTGTATAGTGTATGGTAGTGTAGTGTATGGTAGTCTAGTGTATAGTAGTGTAATAGTGTATAGTATAAATCTTGACTTAAAGCTTTCGTGACTGCAAGAATTCATATTCTTTGGGTCTTTTGGTAAAGCCACATAGATAGAAAAAGAAAAATAATAATAACAATATCACGACGTTTTGATCGCAACACAAGCAAATGTCATCAGGTGAAAAATATAGCGGGAGAGCTGCTGAGGCAGGAAAAAGGTTCGAGATGGGTGTAGCCCAAGGGTCAGTGGGCGGGGCTAGAGATGAAATTTGCATGTAAATGTAAGATCGGAGAAATCTTGACAAACAAAGCTGTGGGGGTGGCCATTGTATTGTGAGAGATTAGCATGTCAATGTAAGAAATTTGCTTGTAAATGTAAGATATTAGCATGTCAATGTAAGAGATTTGCTTGTAAATGTAAGCTCGGAGAGAGCTCGGAAAGAGCCATCGCCACGTGGAGGTGGAAAAGGATGGCAAGCTGCCATTTACTAACACAGCTAACGGTGGCTGTGTTAGTGAATGTATTAATATATTAACGTATTAATATTTATTGTTTAAATATTGGGTGAAAAAGGGTAACTTCCGATGCTATCAGAACGAATGAAGCCTTTAACACGTATTTCCTATACTCGCTTAATGACCAAATCACTTAACAACCAAATCACTTAACTACCGGTTTAGTGGAACCAATTACTGTAATTAAGAAGGGTTCTACTATATATTGCATTCTCCACACTATGGTGCGGTACAACCTATTCACGATTAGTATGCTTGTGCACCTAGGAACAACTCACCGAGTCTCAACTCTTTTTTCAGGAGGGTCTTTGGCAGGTAAACAAACATTTTAGTTCAAATATTGGATGCCATTTTTTCAGCCAAACAGGAGCGAAAAGTTTCCGACGAGAATCACGGTATTATTTTATTCATAATGAAGGTTTTTGGGTTATTTATAAATGTGTCGTAACCCTCCACCACCCGACACGGCCAATCAGCAAAAAAGTGTTACGATGACAAAAGACAAATAGTTCACTACTATAGCCCACCGGTGTGTTGAAGAGTGAATCCACAACATTTACAGTTTGAGTAAGACGTTTCGCTGGTAATTACATCCAGCATCATCGGGCAATTTGCCAGAATGGTAAAGCCTTCACTTGCTCCCGGTCTTAAATAGAGCAGCTTGGTGACGTCATCATTTAACTCATTCAGGTGCAGTGACTTGAGGCGGAGGGGGGGGTATTGTAATTATATAATCGATTGGTAATCAGTCAATGGTTATGATTAGCAATGAGTTGTAGATGAGTAATTAGTTGTAATGTGTGTTATTGTGATTATATGCTACGTTAGTAATCCGTTAATTAGTATGTGTTTCCCCTATAAGGAATTGTAATATGTATTATTTAATAATACGCTTCCAAGCCGCACTAAGCCTGTAGCTGTCAGAGCGATTTTTTTATATAGGCGTTTTGCTGATGACGGAGCCTTTGAATGCACATTAGCGCACGGATAGCACGCTCAGTGCCGATTCCGTAGCCAGTAGCCGGGTAGTTTCAAATAATCAGTGCATCAGAACTGCTCTCATCTGTGGAGTGTAACCAATAACCACCGGGAGAGCATTCGCTAGTCGGGAACCCGCAACGTCTAAAGTGTGGCTGCTGCGCCTCTGGGCGGTAACTCTCCAATCCAGCATGCAAGTCATTGGCCCGACAAGAGTTTGCATCATCATCTACGCTGCCGTCACCGTGTTCACGAGGTACCCAGCGATGCATCGACACCGTCGATCTCCGCATTCTTGCCTTTGCTATGGGACACTCGAGTACAGACAGCGCAATGACAACTGGGAACATCTCGCTTCACGTGCAAAAAGAACGGCTCGGCGAGCCAAAGGTCCCACCTGCTTCATCTGGCTCTTCAGCTTGCTGATGCCAGCACGCTCAGTCTTGGTGGCGCCCGTGTGGTCCACCCCTCGGATGGAGATGCCCGGGCTGGAGACGGCCGACGACTGCACTGAGCGCACTGCGTACAGAGGAGGGTGTACGTCCCGAGCACACGGTCGACACTAGACTTCTTGGATAAAAGTAATGAAAGATTATGCTATATTCTTGGTTCTTTCGGTAAAGTCACAGATGGGAAACAATAAAATAATAAAAATATAAAACAATAAAATTCTCACGACATTTCGACTGCAATACAAGCAATCATCATCAGGTGTGAAAACCACAGCAAGAAAATTTGAAAAAAGTGGCGTTTTTTTACGTTAGCACTACGGAGAGCGATTTGGCAGTTATTCAGATGGACGAGTCCATCTATGTTCGGAAAAGAGGGGGGAGACGAAAATAATGCATGCGGTCTGAAAAAGTGTGAACAATCAATTAAGACCCAAAATGGTTTATCAAATCCTTCCAATGATTGCTAAGCCAGAATCCATCTTCTCGGTTGAAATTGTCTCTGTGTTTATATATGTGGATAGCCTCATGGCTTGGAAAGAACCTCTGTCTTGGAGAAGTCAATGTCATGTGAGCCTACTGAATTATAACAGTGATCTGCCACGGCCGAGGTGTTGGTCCTACCGTGTTTTAGGTCTGCTTTGTGTTCTCGGATGCGGTCCGAGACATGTCGTTTGGTTTCTCCAATGTAACTACTACCACAGAGGCAACTTAGTTTGTAGACGCCAGGGTACTGTATGTCCGGAATCACATCTTTTACAGACGGAACCAGATCACAGATTTTATGTAATGTGTTGAATCGGACTTGGATCTTGTGTTTATTCAAGATTTTGGAGATCTTTTTTGTGATCACCGCAATGTAGGGTAAAGTGATGGTTTTGAATGGCTCCTCAAGAGGGCCCTTCTTCATGGTTGGAGTGATAGCTTTGCGGATTGTGTAGTCGAAGTAACCATTAGCCTTAAGAGCTTGGTGTACGTGCTTGAGTTCACTGGCTATGTGTTCCTGGTCGGATATGCATTGGGCTCTATGGTGCAGAGTTTTGATGAGGGAATTCTTCTGGGATGGATGGTGGTGGGAATCCGGTTTCAGGTAAGCATTCGCATGGGTAGCTTTCCTGTAGACAGTGGCTCATTGAACCATCAGGTCTCTTTTTTATTAGGACATCCAAAAAAGGTAGCTTGCCATCTTTTGTTCTGCTTATTTTATTTTCAGCATTTGGATGCTTGACCAATACCAGTTACTTTGTATGTTTTCATTAGTTACTAGCGGGAAGTACCCGGTGTTGTGTGGGGGAAAAATATATTTCAAAACTTCTCTTAAAAACATTAATATACACATGTAGAGCAGAGAAATACACGGTGCGCACAGTTAAGCGGGTGCAATGGAAGGCAAACAGGTGTGCACGTTGCAACATGAGGTTTGCACCGATAAACCGACGGTAGTTAAGGGGAGAAGCGGGTGCAACTGAGGTCGAACAGGTGCTACGCTGCGAACGGAGGTTGGCGCCAAGGAGACGGGAGATGGGCGGTGATGATAAGAGATTAATGTGACAACTGGCGCCGGCCTGGCGGCAGCTTAAGTAAAAATACGTGAGGTCTCGGGATGAACAGGGGGATATAAGCAGGAGTGTGCGTGAGCGAAAGGGGGTTGCTGCCGGGAACAAAGAGTGAAGACATCTCGCCACTGCCACTCCAGCCGTCAACGGGACCTCAACCCTCAAGCCGTCATCGGGCGGGAGTTGGCTGAACCCCCCGCCCAGGACAGACGGGTAAGCGGGTCTGAGGGAGCGTAGGTGAGGGCAGCGGTGGAGATGCGAAGTTGCTGTGTGTACAGTCGTTGAGTGCGAAGACGCTGTGTGCGGAATCGTTGAGTGCCAAGACGCTGTGTGAGGAGTCGCTGTGTGCGAAGACGCTGTGTGCGGAGTCGCTGAGTGCGAAGACGCTGTGCGTGGAGTTGCTGTGGGCGAAGCTGCTGTGTGCGGAGTCGCTGAGAGCAGAGCTGCTGAGTGCAGGATAAGTGAGGTGCAGAATAGCTAAGAGTGGGGAGAAGTTAAGTATATGTGACCGGACAGACAGTTCTTGGAGTGCCTATAACTGGCGCAAGAACAGGTGAATAAAGTGTAAGCAGGTGACTTGTTACAACGTGTCGGTGTGAGTAATTTTTGAAGACACTACACATACACAAATACCAAGCTATTGTGAAAGCCCGGTGTGCCGTTTGTCTGTCCATTTGTCCGTCAACAAAATAAGAGGCTTGCAGAAGTCCAAAAAACTATAGTAAGTGTGGGGTAAATAGTTGATCTGAAAGGTTTCCACAAATTGTCGACCACCCCCCCCTTAAAAACATATTTTTACTCCATTGTAGGCATATATACCTAAACACCCTACATACAATAGAGTGAGTAGTATCTAGTGACTCTATAGTAGTATCTTACTCTACAGTAGCATCCGGCTCTACTGTAGTATCTGCAGACTCTGTAGTAGTATCTGCTGACTCTGTAGTATCTACTGACTGTACAGTAGTATCTACTGAGCCCAGTAGCATCTACCAACTCTATAGTAGCATCTACCAACTCTATAGTAGCATCTACCGACTCTATAGTAGCATCTACCGACTCTATAGTAGTAACTACTGATGATAGTAGTATCCACTGATTATAGTAGTAACTACTAACTCTACAGTAGCATCTACTGACTCTATAGCAGTATCTACTGAATTTAGTAGTATTTACTGACCATGGTAGCATCTACTGACAGTAGTAGTATCTACTGACTCTATAGTAGTATCTACTGACTGTAGTAGTATTTACTGACCGTAGTGGTATCTACTGACTCTATAGAAGCATCTGCCAACTCTATAGCAGTATCTACTAACTCAATCATTGTATCTACTGGCTCTACAGCAGTATATACTGACTGTAGTGGAATCTACTGACTATAGTAGTAACTACTAACGCTGTAGTATCTACCGACTCTATAGTAGTATCTAATGACCGTAGATCTACTGACTGTATAGTAGTATCAACTGACTGTAGCAGTATTTACTGACCGTAGTGGTATCTACCGACTCTATAGTAGTAACTACTTACTATAGTAGTATCCACTGACGATAGCTTTTTTAACGCAATGAAAATGCAGTCAACCTGCTATAATCATGCAAAACAATGCTTGTTAATGATCCACGAGTGCGTTGTGCAGTCGAACGGCAATAACAATTTAAAGCACCGTTCAATCAACATTCTACAATGGCTCCTGACCCGTCCATCAGTGGTGCTTGCCAGACTCCCAAGTGTCCCTACCGGGACATGAACCTGTCCATGTTTCAACCACGAGGGCCCTTACCGCTGCGTTCTACGCCAAACTCCTTGCCACTCAGGATGTGGTGCAGGAGATTCTTCATGTCGGACGGGCTGAGGTTCATGAGGCTCTCGGAGGCCTCCTCTCCTGCACACGAGAAAGTCACGAAAAGTGAAGGACACTCCATGGTCAAACGCTGTTGACCTTCCCTATCAACAGGTCTTGCCACGAATTGCAAAAAATAAAAAAAAATAATGCGTGAGATAGCTATAGGATCAACTCGCCAGAATCAAGATACTGTGATTTTTTTACCACAAGTATGTGTTATTAATGTAGAGTTGATGACTTGTAATTTGTGCCTATTTGGTGTTTGAACATCTTAACACCTGTATCTACACCAGAAAGGGTAAAGCCTATTATTATTTTTCAAACTCTGATGCTAAATTTTAGGGATTGCTTATACAGCACCTGAAATTGAAAGTGAATAACCCTTCAGTTAGTGTATGGCAACTGTGGTCACCCAGAACAGATCGTGGAACAGGTAACGGCTCGATGCCCGATTCACAAACACGAAGCGGCATCATCACACTACGCTACTCCCAACACATTCATCTGGCTCAACCATCTCAATATCAAATTATTGCCATTGCCCGACGTCAACATCAGCCGCACGACGTAGAAAACGTTAAACTATTGTGAGCAGTAAAACTTTGTCGATCACGAGCTTGGAGGACAAAATCTTGGACAGGGGCAACTCAGCATCACCAGTGCCATCATCAACATTCATCTCTCTGGGGGTCGGAAAATAACCACTCACCGGCGAGGTCAAATGATTTAGTCGGAGAGCAGTTAACGGTGGCTGCTTTATTTGAAGAAAAAAAATCTCTGTTAAGCCACTGCTGGACCGGGGCATCCCCACAGCTTGTCGGTAATGGGGGTTGTTTGGTCACACTTCACCAAATGAGTCAGTGTGGGTTGGTGGGATGATAGAAGCTAGGAACGGTTCATATATCACTCCCCACTGATGTTAGCCTTGGCCGAGAATTGAGCTCGGGTCACCGGATTCATTTTAGTCCACTAACCACTGTGCCACCACTATTTGACAAACGTTTTCACTTGATGAAGAGGAGTTATTTTGGAAATCTGCTTTACGAAACGAGTTTCTACCAATGGGACACAGCTATTAAGCAGACTCTTAAGTGAATGATAAAAACACTCAAAGGTTGGAAATTGATCTGAATAGTTATACAAATAAGTCACATGAAAGATGAACTGGCTTAGACAGCTTTGTAAAAATCAAGAGAAGGGCTAAGAGGAGGAAATAGCGGTGTTATGATCACACTTTTATACGAACAAGCCGAGATACCAAATTGGTGATCGAGGGGGGCTGGGGGTCTAACGCAGTTGTGGCGGCGGTGGTGGCAGTGTGACGTGTACGGCTCACCGGAGCACTTGAGGCTGCGAGCGAGCTCCGTGGCCATGACCTGGATGATGAGGCCGATCCTCAGCCGAAGCATTTCCACAAAGAGGCTGGGCTGAGTCCGCACGTACATCGCCAGGTACACGATGATCTCCTACAGCATACACACACATACCCATGGTGATTATGTATCCTGCTATGCTCTGCTATCACTGATAATAAAAATGTCGAATGTATCCATCATCCCTCCGGAGTGCGATAGATCAACTATCACTTCATGGGACTTGAACAAAATCACAAGGAATGCGCTCTAACTGGCCAGATGTCAGAAGTTAAGCAGGCACGAGCACTGGTTCATGCTTGAATGGTTGACCACGAAATAGGTAAACTTATATAATTTACTTTTTTAGCCAATATTATTATGATTCATAACTGTTTTTTTTGTAAGTTGGAGGAAGGTTTCGTGATACAATAATAATTTAAATGTTTAACAAGCCGCCGCACATATTCACTCGCTCCCGAAGAGAGAGAACGACTCGGAGGCACGAGGAGGAACCACACACGAATGGGAAAGGCAGCCCACTTGGTGAACCAGTACCAAATTCTCCCCTAAAGCTATGCAGTCTTCTATTTATTAAGATGTTAACAGCCACTTAATGAATGCTTACATGTGGGAGGAAAGCGGAGTAACTGGGGAAAACCCACAAATGAGATGTGGCAACACTATTCCATACAGATTTAATTCACATTTTGCTGTACTGCCTTTTCCTGGCAACCAAGGGTATGACACCTCGATAATACCTATGATGGGAAGGGAGTTTCACAGCATGTGTGATCCACCAACCTTCACCTTCACAGCACTGGATTACAGGTGTGCATAGCCACTACCACCGGGCAAGTAAAATTTTAAATAGCTGTCCCTGCCATTGTATTGTTAAAACACGGCAGCCTTGGCACTAACGAAGAATGCCATGGCCAGATGATAATATGGCCCAACCAAAACCTAAATTCTGAATCATATTGGCTGCAAATACAACTTGTGTATTCACTTGTTCTGGCTTGATGGGTTTTTCTCATCATTTACAGAATGTGTTGGATTTCGATTATTATTGTTATTGTTGGGTGAGCAATGTGATTCTAAAATAACGGCAGCACAAGAGAGAGCCACTCCAGATAGTGTAGGCAGCAGGGCAGGAGTGAACCGATATCAGTACCTGGGTGAGGACGGCAATGCTTATGTCTTGACCACACGCCTCGTATATCAGTTTTGTGAATTCATCGGGAGGGAGAGGCCTGTGGAATAGACACAGAACTCAACATACACACACTCACTAACACAAACTCACCAATTTAGCATTCCCAACCATCAAGGCTGTAAGGCAGCACTTCTACTACTGAGATTAAAAAAGAAAACTCTTAACATGTTGGTCAGTAACACTCTGGGCTTAATAGGAAAACAACACAATAGGCGACGTCTCCGGCGGCAATGGCTCTTCTTCAGAGTACATCAGGCAGTGTAATTGACTAACAAGTTGATATTTGGTTTAACATGTAGTTGGCTTTCGCGACCAATATTATCCATAAGATCATTTTTGGGTCAGATTGCATAAATATGAATGTGTCGTTAAACCCGCCACCACCTAACACAACCAATTCGTCAGATTTGTCACGTAAACCCACAACAATACTTTTCAACACACCCGTGTGCTGTACTAGTTACGAATTGCCACATTTTGTTTACGTGCAAACCTTACTAATTGGCTGTGTCGGGTGGTGGCGGGTTTAATGACACATTTATATTTAGGCGTTCTAATCCAAAAAACCCGATTATGGACGTTGATATTTTTTGTTATTTGGGCTTGGGCACCGCTGCCGACGCAACTATCACCAAAATAATTATGTTGAGATCAGAACATCACAAGAAAAGATGCTGTCGTGGTGTAATTGTCAGCATACTGGACTTGGAAACTCGAGGTTGCCGGTTTGATTCAATCTGCCAGCGTGGAAACTGAAACAACGGTGCAAGCCTCTTGGACACCACCAGCCTCTGTCCACCCACTTAATATAAATGGGTACACCACAGCAAGTCACAATTGGCGGGTCCCTGTGGTGGGATGAACTGTGGTAAACGATTAGCACAGTTGACTAAGTACGCATGAAAGAAGTTCGAAACACACATGCATACAGAAGAGTAGGCCAAATGACCTCTAGAAGGGCTCTGTAGAGCTATTTCCAGTGGAGGCATTTCTCCCAGCAGTGGCGTGAGCAAGCACTTGCAGGGATGCACCTTCATCTTTTTACAATGAAAATAATTGGTAACATGGGCAGCATTACACATGCCCAGCCACCTTTGTCTCACCACTGCTGGTGTACCACACCAAGGGTGAGTGAGAGAGTAGTGAAGGGGCAAGGGGGAGGAGGTAATGGCCTGCCGCAGCGCATTAACTCGGCACTCAAAGGGGGAAAACCAGTTCATACGTCGTGATTGTCTTCTCCCGAGGCTCAGGAGGGAGTCCGACCGTCAGCTGCTTCTGATGAGACAGCAGGTCTGTCGCGGCCTGAATGTAGGGATGGAGACACAACGTAACTAGGCGAGAGCCCTCAGCAGCCAGGCCCCGTGTCTGCGGAACAACGATCTTCTCCAGAACAGTAGGGACTATGAGTCAGTTGAGTCTTTCATGTCCATCTTAAAATATTTTTTTGCTTGCTTATGTGTCAATTTTTTTTGCCTTTTTTCTGTCATCCTTTTTAGTTTGATTTGTTCAGGGTTTGTAAAGGGTTGTACTGTTTTACGCAAAGCGCTGTGAGGTCTCGCATGAATGGCGCGATATAAATACAATTTTAGTTCAAAAGTCCAGTCTGGGTCGCCGGTTCTCCCCTACCTCTGCGAGGACCTCCACCTTCTTGCGCAACATGCCCGAGATGTACCGGATGAGCGCCCACTGCTGGCTGGCTCCAGCCTTGCGATAGACCTCGCTCAGCAGGTCCCGCACGGTGGTGCCGTCGTGGCCCGAGATGCGCGTGTCCCATTCAGCACCCCTGCAGCAAAGACGCCGGGAAACGTCCCGCGTGAACGACGGCGTCAAAATTCAGGTCGCGTTTATCGGTCACGTTTTGTTTGCAGGGTGGCGGCGCAGTGGTAACACTCGTGTCTCGCAACAAAAAAAGCCCAGATTTGGATTCCCAACTCGGGCACCTTTCTGTGTGGAGTTTGTATGTTATCCCCCTGTTCTGAAAGTGATTTATCTAACATCATAACATTTATCATGCAGATGGTGCTTCATATCTGCAAGTGATGTACACCATATTATGCCCAACGATCCACTTGTTCAAGGCAAATGTTCCCAATGTGTTTGTCCTTTGACTATGAAATGGGAAAAAAAAACGACAAATTAAGTCAAGATTACAGGAAAGTCATTCTCAAAAGGCTATCACTCTACAATAAATGCTAGGCCAATGATATGTAAATGGCTGATGCATGCATCATTTTGATACCCTGTATTCAGATGATAAATAGTGTAACTGTGCTCTGAGCTCTTAATCACCCGAACATAGGGCACTTCTTAAATTTTAATTGAAATAATAATCCGTAAAAAAGCACACACACAAATAGGGACTATTAAATCTAGATTGAAAACTAATTTCTTAAGAACTGCTTTTTTGTGTTGAGTTTGTTGTCCTTCGCCCGCATCTCAGATTAGCATGGTGGCTACGTACGGTGCGAAAGAAGATCAACATACGCACATGCATACAACCGGCTCACGCTAGCAACACAGACAGCCATGCTTTGAACCGAGGATGACTCTCTTGAGTGTGAGAGAGAGCGCACGGGGAGTATGACAAGGAGTGACCCCGTTCCACTGTGCGCGAAGAGAACATTACGGGGGAGGGAGGCGCTCCTCACTTGACCACGAAGAGGATGTAGAGGATGTCCACTTGGTCGTGCAGGCTGGGGCACTCCTTGAGCTGTTCCACGAGCGCCTGCACGTCGATGCTGCCGTGCGCGTCGCGCGGCATCTCAATGGAGCCTCGCACGTGGTGCAGGGCCTCCTGTCCGTGGGCACGGCATACGACAAGCAGGCCTACTCACTCGGCTCGTCTCCGAGCGCTGACGAGTCGCCGATATTTGTTACGAAAATTTTGCCGAACATCAGCCTACGCTTTACCGTTGTATTTTACATTCACAAACTGGCAAATGGAATGATTGGCTGATATGCAAGGCACACAATTATTATATCACTTGTTTACCCAGGAAGGTCTCGCAGAGTCTCAGGACTCGTTTTCAGGAGGGTCCTGCCAAGTTTTCGCAGCAGGGGAGCAATGTTTCTGCGGTTTATAATCCTAACTGAGTTATTTGTAGCTAATTTTTCAGCATTGCAATGTTTGGCAAACACCAGTTACTATTAATGGGGGTTTATTTAGCCGTGGGAACAAACGGGAAAACCCAGAGGAGACCCGTGCAAGCACAAAGGGAGAACATACACATTTCACGTAGAAAGGCACCCAAATCTGGAATCGAACCCAGGCCCTTATTGCCATGAGGCATGAGCGTTACCACGGTGCCACCCGGATGAGATGGGCACACTCACTCACCTTCTCATCCTGTGCCGGTGGAGGAGCTTCCACAAGGTTTGGCGTTGCTCTGGGTCCAACAAGCACGTTCGTGGGCAGGTACATCGACACATCTGCATGGGGACAAGCAACACAAGAGGACATTTGACAACTTCAATTTCTTTATTACAATCTGGCCATTAAGTTGGCATACTTATGCCCTCATGTGTGTTGTCCCTCAGTGCCTGACAGAAATCAACCAATAATATTCCCCACTGGAGGGGCTCCAGACAGCCCCTCTAAGAGGGCACTTTGACATACTCTTGCCATGCTAGCCCGATATCTTGCAGCCTGCCAATTGACTCACTAGACAAATGACCAAGTATTCAATTCAGCAACTCAATAAGAGAACCCTCAGTGCACACCTGCAATTGCTTGTAAAAAAATGAAAGCTTTCAGTTTGCTCAGCGCAGCCCCAACAATGCCAAGTGGCGAGTAACAAACTGAAGGTGTAGTAGATAAGAGGAAGTACGTTTCTTGAAAAGGATCAAGGTTATGATGATAGCTTTGGAAGAGAGACGACGGGAGGGAATTCCAAAGTGCAGCAGTACGAGGGACGAAGCAGAACGAAAATTGGTGTCACCTGCGGTGTGACGAGTGGGTGAGTGTGATGTTGTAAACTGCAGTATGGTGGCAGCAGCACAGTGTGTATGAGACGAAAGTCTGCTAGGCCGAGTAGTCCTCACCATGTGGGAAGGACTGTCACTCGACCGAGCCCAGGGGTCGGCAACCTGTGGCTCCGGAGCCATATATGCGGCTTTTTAAGGACTGCTTCATGACGTTATTTATTAAGGACTGTCTCGTGTTCATCACATGCATTGCGGCTCTTGAAATATTGAGGGGTTCCCCCCCCCCCCCATATTCGAACTAAAACGCCTCTTCCTGTTATTTCGGTTGCTGACCCTTGGACGAGCCACACGTTCGCAGAAATCGGTAGCGCCAAGGGGACCGTGGCGATTCTCACTGGGCACGTCGAGGCCGCGGGCGTGCGTCACCAGGCTGACGATGTCACGCATCGTGTGTGCGGCGGCGCGGAACCTCTGCGGCCCGGCCTTGCCGCCGGCCGTGGGCGGCAGGCGCGACTTGGGCCCCGAGCTGTCGATGAGGTGACGTAGATACACGGACAGCTCGTCGTGCTCGTCCGCTAACGTGGGGAAAAAGGTGGACGTGGGCGGGGAGCGAAACGAGATATCGTCATCGAGAGCCATGGTCACTCCACTGCTGGATGAAGGGCCTTCCACCCCACAAGCCACTGCCATCTCTCACGATCCGACGATGTAATTATCCACCTGGCACCTGCCCACATGACGATTTCATCGACAAATAACCATGAGGTGGTAACAAAATAGTTTTTCTCTATTCGGAAGATTATAACCATACAAGTGGGTTACACTTTAATTCTTATTCTTTCTTCGAGTAACTACTGCACGTGACTTTGTCACCAGCTGTTGCTTAAGTGACGTCACACACGCAGTCATACCTGAAAAAAAGTTACATTGTAATCAAGGCAGTGTAATTCTTAATTCTATGGGAAGGCTTAATATTCTGAAAAGAAATACCATTTAATCCATCAAAGTATAGACATTATCTGTGAAGTTCCTAATCTCATGTCAGTTTCACAATGTAATCCCAAATCTGCTGTCCACTCCCAGCCCACTCAGGATGCCCTGGGACTCCTCATAAGTCCTGCCACGGCTGCCCCTGCGGATCGTCGTCGTCGTCGTCGGCGGCGGCGGCGTTGTTGTGACACCGGTGCTGCCCTCTCTCCTCTCTCGTTTTTTTCATTTCATAGTCAAAAGGACAAACACATTGGGAACATTTGTCTTGAACAAGTGGATCGTTTGGGATACTATGGTGTACGTCACTTGCATATTTGAAGCACCATCCGTATGATAAACGTTATGATGTCAGGTCAATCACTTTAATGAAGCAAAGCAAGCACAGCGCTGCACTGTTAATCAAGCCACTGCGAACCCAGCAGAGCCATCTGTGAGCTGTGAGTCGTCCATGTGTGAGAAAGTTACGATGCACAATGCATGCACTTGCATCCAGACGAATGTTCCCCCTGTAGCACTAAAACACATTTCAAATTTAAGTTGAATTTGCACAAAGGTAGAAAACTATTGGGGCAGGTGCTGTTAGCGAGCACCATGAAGGCTGGGACGGCACACAAGGGGGTGGGTGGCCAACACCATGCCCGGCCATCTTTGTCTCTCCAGTGTTGATGTTTACACACCACATCAGGTACACATTTGAGGCCGAGTCGACCTAGGGGAGGCTCATGACTGGTTCAAATAATCATCACTGGTGTCGGCCGTGAGCAAGAATCGCACTCGGGTCGCCGGGTTCACAGCGCAGTGCGCTAGCCGCTACACTACCGCTCCCCACGAAGTGTAGTGCGAACCGCTACACTACCGTGTAGTATAGTGTGTTCTCTTGGCATAGAATAGACACGACGTCCCGCGAAGGCAGTGCATTGCCTATGAGATTATAATGTTTGATGAATGTTCGCATTCCAAATAAAAAAACTGTTGCATTCCCATTAGGCCCCACAGCGGAAAGTGCAGTCTCCAACTCTTATTTGCTCCATCTCTCTGGCCTGCAATATATATGTAGTGGTCGACTTCACACGAACAACTTCTTCCTTTTTCCGACACCACTTTTATTACAAACGCTCACCATTACGCCTGTGGCTTCATCATTTCTTTGCTCATCACAGCTCGCTCACCACGCTGGCTCGCCACGCTCCCTTCCCTCTCTCACTGTCTCTCCGCGTAGTCTGTCTCTCTCCGTCGCCCGTTGTCTCTGTCTCCCTCTGTCGCTCTCTGCTGCTGTATCTGTCTGTCGCTCGCTGTCTCACTCTGTCTCTCCGTCTCACTCTGTCTTCGTCTCACTCTGTATCTCTCTCTCACTCTGTCTAGTCTCAATCTATCTCTGTCCCACTCCGTATCTCTCTCCGTCTCTCCATGTCTCTGTCTTGTCTCTATCTCTCTCTGTCTCTATCTCGTCTCCGTCTCTCTCCCTGTCTCGGTCTTGTCTCTCCTTGTCTCTATCTCTGTCTCTATCTCGTCTCCATCTCTCTCCCTGTCTCGGTCTTGTCTCTCCTTGTCTCTAACTCTCTCTGTCTCTATCTCGTCTCCGTCTCTCTCCCTGTCTCGGTCTTGTCTCTCCTTGTCTCTATCTCTCTCTGTCACTCCTTGTCTCTGTCTTGTCTCTGTCTTGTCTCTCCTTGTCTCTATCTCTCTCTGTCACTCCTTGTCTCTGCTTGTCTCTGTCTTGTCTCTCCTTGTCTCTGCTCCACTGCTAGCCTGGTCTGTCTCTTATGTCTTCTCTCTGACCTGCTCCGTTCCAGTCCCAGCGACAACCACAACTCTTCTTCTTTGGTTCTTTCGGTAAAGTCACGTAGAACGAGAATAAAATAATAAATTGATAAAATAAAATAACACAATAATATTCTCACGACGTTTCGGCCACAACACAAGCGGCCTTCATCAGGTGAAGGGAGCGAGACTGTCTGGTAGGACAGCGCTGTCCTACCAGACAGTCTCGCTCCCTTCACCTGATGACAGTCTCGCTCCCTTCACCTGATGAAGGCCGCTTGTGTTGTGGCCGAAACGTCGTGAGAATATTATTGTGTTATTTTATTTTATCAATTTATTATTTTATTCTCATTCTACGTGATTTTACCGAAAGAACCAAAGAAGATGAATCATTGCAGTCACGAAAGCTTTAAATCGAAACCACAACTCTGCTCTCCTGTCCCCCGAATATATCCCCGTTCCCATCAACTACCGATTAATTAGGCGGCGTACCCACGACTCCTCGTGTACCTGGCACCTGTCCCTTTCACCCCCCATATCCAGACACTTAGGCGTCACTCTGCTCCTGACAACAACACCCGGCCAATCACAGCCATATATCGCATACCAACTTAATTGGGCCGTTTCTCTCTCACCGTTCACCGTTGCCGCACCTGCCCAGCCCGACATGACCCCACTGTCCATAACTCGCGCGTCTTTACCATCCGCCCTGTATGCGCGTGTTCATCCACTACATATATACTGTGAAAAAGGGCCATTGCCCGAAACAACACCTGTTACGTATGTTTCCTGTTAAAGCTCACGGTGCTATTGATAAATGTGTCAAGTATTTTGTTAATTGTGCTCGTGCACAACTACCAACGCAGCATCACGAAATAATATGTTACGTGTGCTGTGGCATAACGCTGTCCTATTCATGAGGACTCCAAAACACCTGCATCACTTATGTAATACAAGCATGAATAACAACTTTAAATTATTTGAAAATTATTATACCAGCATAAATAACAACTAACAATTATTTGAAAATTCTTTTAAGAACCGCATCAATGTTTCCCAGTGTTTATGGTTCATATAATTTATTGTAAATACTAAATAAAACCCTCACTAAAGACAATACACTAAGGTTTGCTTGATATGCAATAACTTGGCGAAGTGGCTATTTTTTTTTTACTCAAAAGCAATACCAAACTAGGGTTAGTAATTAATACATAAGGAGTCATTCCCAAAGGAGATATAGCAATTATATACGACGTTTAATATATGCATGTTATCTCATCTTACAGCTACCTCCAACTAGCATTGGGTTAGTTTAATCTACTACTGGGATCAGCTGTGGAACTCCTGTCAACTAAAGTGCAATATTCACAACCATAGGAATACCATGGATTCTGGTTATGGCACTATGGCCATACCAGAAGGTTAAACTGTCACACAAATGATGATGGCAGAATAAGGTTGGTGGCATGATTTAGTGGTGGGTCATTTATCATTTCATACGCTATACCCACAAATAGTAGGCCACTCTTGCCAATCACATTGCAGGTTGTTAAATGTCCATTTCCGCTGCATTGTGCACTTTGGCAATTCCAAGAAAACCACAATACGTGGAGGCGGCGGCCACATGAATGTAACCAATAGCGACGCACAGGCGGGGCTCAGTGGTGAGCATGTTCCCAATTAGCCACACAGCCACCGAAACGAAAACAATTTCTTCGTATCGCCTAAACTGTGAAAAGTCGGCAATATGATACGGAATAATAGTCCTTATTTTGTTTTCCAAAACATAACATGCCACATTTCTTACTGATAAATAATTTTAAAAAAGGAATTTATCATCATCTGCCATGTTCAATTTCACTGCTGGATGAAGGGCATCTCCAAAGAGTCACCATCTCTAACGATGCAACAATCCGCCTAGTGCCTGCACACAAGCCGATTTCATAGCTCCGTCTCCCCTTTCGGCGTCCACCTGAACGCGTTCCATTCCTTGGCTGCCACTCGATCACTATTCTTTAACATCAGCGATCGTGTCTTCGAGCAACATGTCCTGAATTTGTCATTAGCTTACCCTATTGCTCTATATAAGTTTTGTTTTCCAAAAAAATATTTTTTTTGCCAAATTGCTTACACGAGTAATAATTAAAACCGGTGACATTAATCATGAGCGTTGCAAGAGCACTTTGATGCCGTTCATCTTCTCGCGCTGGTGACATTGCTTAAACGCGCACACTCCATCACTCGCATTGCCCCTTTCCCAACCCGCAGCTTCAGTGAGCAGCTTTAATCAAGACCACACGTTGGACAGTTATTACCCAACTCGACAAACCCACGATGTCCCGCTGCCGGGTGGGGGAAGCAAGATTGTTAGCGCAAACGGCATTCATAAGCTGTTAATATACAGCACCGCAAAGCACAGCTGCCCGCAGACAAAAGAGCACAAGAGATATAACCAGACCACACGAGAAAAGGCAAACTGTCGCAAACCAGTCAATCAAGTGAGCCTTCATAATTGTAATATGGCAGTCCTCGACTTACGAACGGGTTCCATTCCTGAGCCACGTTCCCAAGTCCAACGGTTTGTAAGTCGGAACATAATAATGCACCGTATTTAAATGCCAATACGGTCAGTGTTATAAAATCTGTCATAGTTCAATAAAAGGAAGCATTGTTAAACGCATAAATACAGAATAAATATTGTACATGTGCATGTAATACTGTAATAAATATTGTATGGTAAATAAAGCATAACATAAAATAAGAAATAGAAAAACAAAGTTTTATTTTCACCGACCCAGAGTCCCGATGCTGGCGTGCTTAACGG